TATAGTTAACATCATAGGGATTTTGCCCCAAATTCTAATATAGAAATTGTGCCGATCTTATCCGGATCAGCAATTAATTTATTAAAATTTCTATACTTATATTATTGTAGTTTTGGTCAATTAGTTTTAAAGAATAAACTATTTCAAATTATAAAAATAATTCGTTAAAATTAGGGAACCTGGCACGCCTAAAATCATTTGACATGCTGTTTAACAAATAGCCTGCACCCTGGCATGCACAGGTCGAATGATGGCAAATCGGGTACAAATTAGGTGTCTGATTTTAAGCTGGTTGCTACCCGATTACTACCCGATTGATGTTGTAACAAAAATTGACATCAATCGGGTAGTAATCGGGTAGCAACCAGCTTAAAATCAGACACCTGATTTGCCATCATTCGACCTGTGATGCCATATTATAAAATTTTCTTTAATCGATCAGATTTAGAGTTTGGAACCGGATCCGATTTCCTTTGGATTCGATTTAAATTTGGTATAAAATCGAATCTGCAATACTCATATTGTCTGCACAACCTATAGAATTTCTATAAAATTTCTATAATGATAAAATAGTTTTTATCCATCGAATGTTTTATCACATACCTACAATGACGCTACTACGTATTGTTATTTTTTTGAATTTGACTAATAAAGTAATTGTTTGAATAAATTCATATTTCAACTTAATAATTCGGATTTAAATCCGAAGCAGAAAATCACTAATTAATATAAATACGGATTCCAAAACAAAATCCGGTTCCAAACTCTAATCAGATTACATAAATATAAATTTATAATAAGTTTATAATAAAGGCATGCCATAATGAATTTTAGACACTCTGGGCATGTCACCATAGCATGCCAGAGGTGCCATGCCATGGTCTATTATGCCAGGTTAAGCTATAACAAAAATTTATTAAAGCTATTTAAGAATTCGAACGATTGGCCATAATAAGTCGTGTAATAAAAATCAGGTGACCAGATAAAAAACGTTCTAACACGTCAAAAAGACACTAAAAACACTAAACACAAATGGGAATGTTAATCGGTCCCTTCAAGATCGGGTCATTAAATCACATGAAAACACATATTTATATAGGATTTGGATCCTGGTAGAGATGTACCCGTCTACCCAGGTATTATTAAATTACTGTATCCAGGTAAGTTAAAATTACGGTAATTTATGTAATTTTGTGTAATTTGCGTAAGATTCGGTAAACTGAAATTTCATGAAATTGTAATTTTGAACACGACATTTAGCTTCAGAGTTCAATTTCGGTGATTTATGGGTTACAATTTGGATCGTACATTCATCAAATGATGCAATAATGCTGGTCAAACTTTGTAATCTGGTATTTTATGTATGACGTGAAAATTACACGAAATTTGGGTTTTCCGAAACTTACGTAAAATTACATATAATGTAAATTGTATTGATCCGGGTACAATCTCTAGATCCTGGATAGGATTTAACATACAAATTAAATTGATTGAATGGATTATTCGGAGAATATAGTATGGTATAAACCCTATTTAAAGATGTTTTATGCGATAGACTTGACATATCGGCGGATTTGTGGAATTTGATAAATTAGGGATGTTAACAGTCCGGTCTGGTTCAGTCTGGTCAATTTTGGTCCAAGTTTAGACTTTGCTAGTCTAGACCGGTCCAGACAGGTCTTAAGACTAACTGTGGTCTATTAGTCTAAGACCGGACCACATAACAACCCTATGATAAATGGAAAAACCCAAGAGCCGTAACTCTGGTCAAATTTGCAGATCATTTGGCCAGGTTTGAAATTATTTGACTTCAAAGCTTACCAAATGATCTGCAAATTTGACCAGAGTTACGGCTCTTGGGTTTTTCTATTTATCAAATTCCACAAATCCGCCATAATCCCTAAACACAAAAAAAAAAAAAGAGGCGATTTTTATTAAACTTGTTAATATAATTCATTCTTGTGTTGCGCCGCACACGAAAACAACTGTACCAAATACATATTAGCCATTCTTTAAAAAAAAAAAAAAAAAAAAAGAGGCAATATGACTTTTGGCATCATAAGCATCATAGAGGCAATAGTCGGTTTGGTTTCAGCTTGTTCATAAATTACACATACTATAAATAATCAATTAGAAAATCAATTAAGATATTTTTTGATAAATGTCATTTCTGATTAAGGGAAAAACAGAATTCTTTTTTTCTTATTCTTAATTTCATAAAAATTTTCATTTTTTTTTATACCCGTTTGAATCCATACAAGAACGTAAATTTTGCATATCACAGTTCCAGAACGAAAATGACGATAATTTGTCAATCGGTCTTTACATTTAGTATACGATACTTAAAAGAATAGATTAAAATTTTAACACGATCGAATTTGCCTAAAAAACACGAAAAACCACTCAATGTACGGAAACACAGCGAATATGCTTGCACAATTGAGATAGTTTTTGTAAAAAAAGAAAAAAAAGAAAATACGAGTCGAAAAAAAAGGAAAAAAAGACCTAACACTAGAAAGGAAGCCTATAATGTTTGAGATGCGTGATATAGCAATTAGAAGATAGTAAAAATTAAAGTATAAAAAAATGAAACTTTACCTAGTGTTCGTAGTAAATATAAATAACCAGTTGGCTATTTAGACCTGCGTCGCCATTTTGCAATAAACTTTCCCTTATTTTCTCTTCGCACAATATCAGAAAGCGCGTCAGCATCATCTTCCGAGGATTCCTGTTTTTTTACGATATTGTCATCATTATCATCGGATTTAACGTCGTCAGGAACATTATCAGGTGCCATATTTGTTACTGAAGAAGGATTAGTGCTTTCGCTTGTTTGATCAGGTAAATCATCGTTGGCTCTCCGATAACGAGCTTCCTTACGGATCGGAATTTTAATTCCCTGTTTAGCAAAAGCTTTAGAAAGCGCAGTTGATTCTGATGTAATATTTAGGCATAAAATTATGTTTGTTTGTTTGTCGGAAATTTAGTGTTACTACTACCTGAAACGATAATTCGGAAATAACATTACCCCTGTTGCTCTTTTCGTACCTGTCATACCCGGAAACTTTTTTGCGGAATATGCTCTAAAAGCAGAGCTATAAACTTCAGCTGCTATGATCCCGCGAGTGGGTGTGAATCCGTTCTGTGATCTGCAGATTAAATAAGTTAAAATGAATTTTAAACAAAGTAAACAAAGGAATTAATTGTTTATTTGTTTTGACATAAATGTTTGTAAATGCTATGTTTTTTTATGATTACTATTAATAACTTACTGATATAGTTGCTCCTTAATGTCACAAAACGAGAATTTTAGGGTAAAGGTACCTTCTGTTCTAACTGACAAGTCTTGAAATATAAAGAATATTCCTAATTTATTCATATGGTCGTTAAGAACATATGCAGACGAAATACATTGACCCATAAGATTTCGAGTGCACATTGGCGCGTTTAGCGACATGACACTTGAGCTCGAAGAAGAAGGTTGGGCAGGAACAGACGAGGGATTAATTACAAGAATACGCTCTTCCTTACAATCTTTGGACCATAGTCCGGCAACAACAACCATAGTGGAATGGTCCACAGAACTACGACAATATTAATACAATTATATAATTATAAAAATTTTAAATCGCGATTAATCTAAATCTATCGTTTTTTCAAATTTGTTTATTGGATAATTCCTTTATTTCTGTAAAGTCTGCTCATGCTCACAAAATGTAAAGAGCAAATAAAGCGATGACTCATTATTTACCTTTCAGGTACAGGTGTTCCATCTTCAGTAAACACTAGAAGTCTAATGACAGGAGGTGGGTCTATTGGACGGCGGTCTTTGTCACCGAAGCCACACATTCTCGCACGTATAGGCTCTTGAACGACTTCCAGTTGGTACCTGTAACTAATATGAAAAACAAAGGCATATTTATTTCATATTTATAATTATAATAATAGTTTTAGCATTTGCAAAAGGTCGCTATACGCGTCGGATGATATTATTGCTTTCTTTAGGAATTTATAAAGGAAAAAAAAGTTACTTTGAAGAATTCATTTTTTTTTTTATCGAAGGAACATAAAGAGCGAATTCTAGAGGTTACATGATAAAATAGTACTTATAATATTTTACATGATTGGATTATGTAATTTTCCGTATCTTTATAGAGACATGACAGATCATGTGACTTCCGACCTTCAACACTTAAAAAGTCAAAACAATTAACAAAAGGGTATTGTTATAACAAAGATAAAGGCTAATTTAGACAAAATAAAGAAATTAGTTTAAAGACGGTTTCATATGAACTTCAAGCGAATTTATTAGTTTATACGTTACACTTGATCTCTTAATTTGATTGGTAGGAATCTGATCAGGGCACTGAATCACATGATCCAATTTTTTGTTTTCTCGCGATGACGACAGGGTACTTTTAGTGATCAAGTAGTATGTACGTGCGTACGTATGTCCCGTTTTCATTGGAAAATACTCTGTGACCGGTTTCCTTACTTGGGTAGGTGCTAGATTTCATGAGATCATAACCTTAATATTTATAGTCAACTTCTGCATATCAGCATTTCATTCTCACCTTCTACGAATTCACACAAGGCGACTTTTAAAAAAGTATAGCAAAAGATGAATTTGATTAATAAATACGTAATCACATCTCCTTTAGTTGATAGTAATCGCGTAGTTATATATGCTATACAATTTCCATAAAATCAATACTTTATATGTTGGCCACACATGCCACTTGTAAAGTTTAGAGAAATTGAAGATAAAAGACCTACCTTGCACGACTCTATATAAAGTTCTTTTCTTTTTAAATGGAAAAAAACCACACTCATTGCAGTTTTCATACCTATCAACAATTATTAATTTTCTAATAGCCTGGTTTTATTATTTAAACTGGTCAGAAATATGACCAGAATTAAGAATATATCTACATATTATACCCTGGTTACTATATCAAGATCGCAGGGTATAAAACATGCCACATTAATTGTTGGCCCTTTAGGTTAAAATACTGCAATGGAGTAAACATGAAAAACTGAATAATGCAATTTATAGAGTTTATTATAAAGAAATGAAAATAGGGTTACAGTCATTGATATATTTTTTTAAAAGAATTTTTTTTCTTAAACATCGCGATAAAGAATTTCAAAAATCACGAGAAGGTAAATTAATATTGCAAATTAACTTCATATATATTTTAACTTTCCTCTTTTTTTATTGCAGGATGGTAGATGATAGTCAATAAATTTAGATAATGTTCAAAAATAAAGAACGAAAAAATTATATTTTCAGAAGAAAAATTAAGGAGAATAGAACTTCGAAGAACTTCCATTTTTATAGCACAAGCAGCAGATGAAACTTTTATAAATCGTATAACGTTACACCTTACTATGACATTCATCCCCAAAAAAATTTATTTTGAGCAAACTTCGTATAAAGTGATTTTATCAATGGCGCAAAATTATATGAAGAAATCTAATTCAGATGGAAAAGGAATGTAGGCTGATTTTTGCTTTAGAAACAAAACAAGTCTGCTTTTTTTTCCTATTGCCAATTAATATAAACCATATGAAATAATTGGTTCCTACCTTTGGTTTTAATTATCTGCTCTGAATAGTCCTCCGATTCTAAAGTTAGCACATATATATATTTATATTGGATTCCTTCACACGAGCAAAATCTAAAAAAAAAAATCCAATATTATGTCGATCTCATATTAAAAAAAAAGGAAATATGCATCTTGCGTGGATAAAGAATTTAAGTGTGGAACGGCGGTTATTTCTTTTTGCTTCAACATAAGTGTTATTCTCTCAGGATTATTATAGGATTTAAATATTAATATAGACTATTTGACTAGTCAAAGTTAGATAGTTCAAGCCAGATGACATGTGAATGTATATAAATATGTAGGCAACTTAATAGAGCATTTTTGTTTCTAAATGTATATGCACAAGTGTGCAATTAAATTTGAATAAGGAGCTTGCGCAAAAAATGATGTGCAAGAGTCGATCATGTGTCATGGCGAATAGATGTTTTTCAACCACCCCAGCATCCCCAACCTAAAAAATTTCACAATTGGGCCGAATTAAAATTTAAGATCAGGTGTAACATAAAATTAAACTAAAAATACCCAAACCCTAACCCTAACCTAACCCTAACTCTGGTAGCGAAATTTTTTAGGGTGGTGATGCTAGGGTCATAATGTTTTTTTCATCTTAAATTTAACTTTTGTAAACTATTGACTAGTAATCACCTATTATCTATATTATGTGCCAATTTGACTTATAATCAGGTACTATATAAATATAGTAAAAATCAAAAAAAAATTGTATCTATATTTTGGTGAGTACTTGTGTATAAAACTTCAGTCTCAGTAATTAATTTATTTCCTATCTGAATACCCGAATACAAATAGGCGCTAGAAAAATGAACATTAATACCATAGTGGATCATGTGAAATTGCGGACAACCCACAACTAGGGTTGTTATGTGGTCCGGTCTTAGACTAATAGACCACAGTTAGTCTTAAGACCGGTCTGGATCTAAAAAAAAATTGGTCTGCTCTAAGTCTTAAGACTGGATTGTTCTGGACCGGCCTAGACTAGCAAAGTCTTAAGACAGAAGACCATAATAGACCAGACTAGACTTGGTCCAAAATTGACCAGACTGAACCAGACCGGACTGTTAACATCCCTACCCACAACCAATCATTTTAACATATTTAAAGTTTTTTTTATCGATTTTGTTAGTTCAATGTTTTATAAAGAATTAAATTTCCTATCAACAAAGAAGCTGTCTAGATTTTTACAAAACTTTGATAGAAACTAGTATAATAATTATCTAAAAATATTTTATAAAGTTTTTTATCATTTTAAACCTTAAAGGTGTAAAAATAAAAAAATTCTTCATTGTGTGGACAAATTTAACTCGTTCAGAGTTTATTAAACTTATTATTATTTACGATAGAATATTGTTTTTATTGGTTGATCTGTAAGAATTCTGATTGGCCAAAATTAATACTTTATCGCATTAATCTATTGCAATGCGCATGTAAAATTCGAGGCATTTGCTTAAAAGGAAATATTAATTATTTTGTTTTACGTAATAGCATTATCAGAATCGCATCTAAGAAATTGTTGATCCCACTTGAACCCAACATTTATATGAAAGTTAAGCTTTTAAAAAGAATCTGGCAAAATTTAGATGACTTCGATATAAAAATTTTAATACGTGTAATTCAAGCCAAATTCTTATCGCTAATTCTTCAATCTTCTGTACAACAATATTAAGATGAGATCATCAATTTCACGTGACAATAAAAGCAGTGTTATTTTCGGGTTGGCCAATGACTAATTTAATGACCCTCATATTAATCATTTTTTAATAATATAGTGTTCCAAGTTACTTCTCATCAAAAGGCGTCAATATTCAATATTTATGTATGCCATCCAATCAATTCTAATTTTAATTGGATAAAAAAATTTTAAATAAAATTTTATATATATCTTTTTTTGAAAATAACTAAAATTACCACAGGTGATTATTATCTGTGATCTACAATATATAAACAAAAATAACTAGCTTCTTTAAGATTAGGGTAAAGGTAAGGGTTAGAGTAGACCTTTAAATATAGTAAAATTTAGCAAGAACAAAATTGATTTACATGTTACATCTGATCCTGAATTTTGATTGGCAGATTGACACAGGTAATAATCACCTGTGGCAATTTCCTTTTTTTTATAAAAAATGCCAATTTTTACCATTATTAACTTTAATATATATAACTTTATTTTTGAAGATTTTAAAAAATTCAACCGATAAATTTGATAGAGTTAATGATAAAGATTTATTTTTATCGGCTAATTATTTTAAAAATATTTTTAAAAATTAAATTTATAATTATTTGCTATGCCTATTTAATTTTCTGATTCAGTATTCTAAAAAAGAAAATCCCGAAAATCCCGAAATAAGCACCATACCCTCTGCCCTGTTTTTTTAAATCTCAGATTAACGGGAATAACTTGAGTAAAGACTTTATTGCTATTTCCGCTAATCTGAGGTTTAGAAAGTAGGGTAGAGGGTGTGGTGCTTATTTTCGGGAATTTACGGTAAATCTTTTCTGGTTACATTAAACATTATCTGTATTTTACATTGAATATTTATTTTTACTAATGTATGAAACACGGGTATACCGGTAGTCATAACTCAAGACTTTACTTATAAAACCACTTTGGGGTTCTAACAAAAAATAACCTACGTAAAATTTTAGTATAAAATACCCTTTAACCCTAATCTCAACCCTAATTAAGTAGTTTTTGTTTTATGAATTTTATATATTACACGGATTTGCAAATCAATTAACACCCGTACACTTGTAGATTTAGAAATTTTCTTTTTAAAAACTTAACAAATTTGATGAGGAGTGACTTGGAGCACTAGTAAAAATTTTAAATATAAATTTTACTTTATTAAAAGATAATGACAAATAATCTCTAAAAATAATATTTAGTCATTAAATGACAATAACCTCAATAGTTTAAGGTAGACTTTGTAATGAAGCAACGCATTGAATCATATTCATATTTGGAAATTCGCAATTTTTTCTCGTACGGTCAGTTTATTGAAATTTGAATTATGAGAGTTCATTACCTTAACCTTTTTTCAGATAATTAAATGTTACTTATTGTGCCATTTATTCAAGATAAAATTTAAACATAAATTACAAGTGAATTTTCATTCAAAGTTTATAAAATAGATATTGTTATTGTGGACGACTAATGTTTAACCGGCCGGTTCACAACTGATTAGAGTACAAACATATTTGGGAGACTGCAACTCGAAATATATC